GGCTGGTCTCAAACTCACAGTGATCCTCCTGCCTCAGCCTCCCAAGTGCTGGGATTACAGGCATGTGCCACCACACCCGGCCAATATTCTCTAATTTTTTTTTTCTCATTGAGTTTATTGGTACATTTTAGGTATATAGTATAGTTACATTCATCATTGGGATCTTGTACCTTTAAATGACAAGTCTTGGTTCTCATTTTTTCCCCTTATCCCTGCCCTCCCTTCACCCCCTAGCATAGTGGTTTTAATAAACCTCGGCTTTGGGGTCTGACAAGCTGGATCTTGAAGTGTGTGGGATCCTGTCATTTACCAGTGGTAAGAACTTGCACAGGGTAATTTTTCTGGCCGTCAACTTCCTGATAAGGAAAATAGGGGTAATAGCACTTACCTCATGGATTTTGTGACGTTTAGTTAGGAGAATAGCTGGTACAGTATTATTATTATTTACTAATTTATTTTGTGGGGTTGCGGTTCAAATCTAGAGGGGTTCTACCATTCATCCCCAGCCCTTTTTTCATTTTGACTCAGGGTCTCCCGAAGTTGCCTAGGCTGCCCTCAAACACGTGATGCTCCTACCTCAACCTCTCCAGTAGTGGTATATTACTGGTATGCACCACTGAGCATGGATATTTTTATGGCTAATTTATTTTCACAACCTAAACATTTTTTTTCTTGTTAAGCTTATTGGTACATTTAAAGCAAACAACGCAGTTACATTTATCATTGGGATCTTGTACCTTTACATGATATGTCTTGGTTCTCATTTTTTTCCCCATACCCCTGCTTTCCTTTTACCCAACCTACACATTTTGTAGTTTCTTCTTTTCTGTGATCCACAAATTCATGTGCCCTTCCTCTAGTCAACTCCAATTTCACTTCAAAACCTGAAGCAGACAAGGAAGAGCTGTCTGAGATCCCTATCTGTCCCATCTGTTTTCTTCTCTGGCTTTACCAGCTATGGTTATGTCTTATGATTATGTCTTATGTTTTATGGCATCCCCACCATAACTGAATGCCACCCTCTGTCAAGATAGATGGGTATGGGCTCTTTCATCTGAGAGTTGTAAACCTCAAAGTTGGATTTTTAAATAGCAAAATCTTAGATAACCAAATATTTCAGTTTTCTGGTCAGAATTGTCTCTAATTTTTTAAAGAGCCAACAGATCAAAACCCAACTCAAATCTACAAAGCCCTCCACTTTGTACCTACCTCTCCACAGGGCTTTGCTGTATAAAGTATCTTGGAGAAGTGGGCAGGTTTAGGAGTTACATCTCTTTCCCCTGTATCATTACTGGTCAGAGTTGCCTAGCCCTTCAACCCGGTGCCACAGTGGAGCCCATACAGTGGTGTTCGTGCCCGCTGCCACGCAGGAACAACAGAAAGAAGACCTCTGAGGCTCCTAGATGAAAACTGAAGCCCAATGGAAAAGCGAAGAAAATCTGCGATAAAGGCACACCACACCACCATAGTTGGTAAGTCAGAAGGACCAGTACCTGACATCGGAACCTGGTCTAACTTCAGGGGAAAGACAGGTGGAACCTACAGTAGAAACTTGCAAATTCAACCCAGCAGGAGGACAGAGATCTCAACTTGGGCCTTGCAGCCAAAAATCAGCCTGAACCTCAGAGGACAGCTGCAGGCTTGCTGAGACTAATTAGCTTAGACCTGCACATTCCTGCCCATGCTGTCTATTGTGTCAACAGCGGCATACCCTGAAGGAGGCCCTCTATTTCTATTTGTATTTTTTATTTTCAAAGTAATATTTTTCACTTAGCTCTAATCTTTTAAAAATATTTTATCTATTTTTCTTTTCTCAAATATTTTTTCCTTTTATTAATCTTCTTTTCTTTTTTTTTCTTTCTCTCTCCCACCTTGATCTCCATTAAAACTCCCTTTCTGTTCCTGTTCAACAACTGGGATCTCATTGTATTAAAAAAGTTTTTGCAGTGCAAGAGAAATCACCAACAGAGCTAAGAGACAACCTACAATGTGGGAAAAAATTTTTACCAGCTACTCCTGAGACAAAGGACTACTATCTAGAATATATAAAGAACTCAAAAAAATCAGACCCCCCCCCAAATACGAAGACCCAATTAAAAAACGGGCATCTGCAATGAACAGACATTTCTCAAAGAAGTAAAAGCAGCAAAAAAATATGAAGAAATGTTCAACACCGCTGGTCATTTGAGAGATGCAGATGAAAACAACACTGAGATTCTACCTTACACCATAAAGAATGGCTGCTATCAACAAATCAACCAATGACAAATGCTGGCGGTGCTGTGGGGAGAAAGGAACCCTGCTCCATTGTTGGTGGGAGGGCAGACTGGTGCAACCACTGTGGAAATCAATATGGAGATACCTCAAAGAACTAGGATTAGAGGTCCCATTTGACCCAACTATCCCTCGGCTGGGTATCTTTCCAAAATAACTAAAAGACTCATACCACAGTGATATATGTGCACCCATGTTCATAGCGGCACAGTTCGTAATAGCTAAAACTTGGAAATAACCCAAATGCCCATCAAGTGGAGACTGGATAAAGAAGATGTGGTTTTTCTATAAAATGAAGTAGTACTCAGCCATAAAGAAACTAGAAACATTTATAGCTAAATGGATGTACATTGAGGTTATACTCTTAAGTGAAATAAATAGGACACATGAGTAAATACCAAATAGTTTCTCTGGTATGAAAAACTAAAAGTATAAATAAGGTTCAAATGGTATAATTAGGAGTGTGAAATAGGAATA